CGGCCATCGTGGTCGCCATCGCCTGTTGCGACGCGACACGGCTGGGTGTCATGCAAGGCGTCACTCCTCCCAAGGGATCCAAGTATCCGGCGAATTTTCCTCCCGCCAACCTCACTGGGTATACGATCAAGATGCCGCTGCCCAACAAGCGCAGGGCACGGCAGCCGCAGATGGTGGTGACGCTCGACAAGCCTCTGTTCTGCCAGTATGCCTTGGTAGGCCGCCACACGACTGTGTACACTGCGACGACGAGTGTTGCCGTCGGACGGAAGAAGGGCAGGGCGGTGATTGTGAAGCTGTCGCAGCAGGCGAAGGGCAGGAAGCCCGAGCAAGACTTTCTTGCTACGGCCTTGGAAGTCGACGTGGACCACCTGCCGGAGCTTCACTCCTCGATGGATCTATGGTCCCTTTCTGACGGCATTCGCAGCGTATTTCTCAAGAGGGATCCGGCTCACAACGAAATTTTCGAAGATCGCATCTTACGCGCCATAGTATATACGCAATATACCCCGTTGCAACAATTTCTTGCGGAGTCCTCTGACGCTCCCGAGTATATCCGGCTCATGGTCGACCAGATGATGGAATGTAAGTGGGCCAAACTGTTTTGCTGCTCGGTCGCTGATTTTGCGGCGCAGGCCTCCATGATCTGCGCTACAAGGCGAAGATAATCCATCGCGACGTGAGCCCGAACAATATCATGGTCGAGATGCGCAACGGCGAGCCATTCTTCATCCTCAACGACTTTGATCTCGCTACTTTCGTCAAGGACAACGGCATGCGGCTCCACCCGGCGTCCTCTAAGCACCGCACTGGCACACTTCCATTCATGGCCGTTGAAATTTTGCTGGACATGGACAAGCCTGTTGCCGCAGCGAAGACCCGCCGTGTAGGACTTCAAATCGCTCATCGCTTGCGGCACGACTGGGAATCTCTCCTTTGGGTCGCGCTGTGGTGCATGCTCACGATGGATCCCGACGTCTCTGGGACGGAGCTCGAGCCACAGATAGTAAGCTTTCTGTCCGATTGGGAAACAGGCGAGTTCAGGAACATTGCGAACGCTAAAATTACGATTATATACAACGCGACGAACGTCTACGACCTAGTCCCTCTTCGTTTCCGGAGCCTCATCCCGTGGATCAAGCGATGGTGTCGCATCCTGCGGGATGGTCACGATGTCGCTACGGAACACCGGGAGCTATCTCGTAAGGTACTTGGACAGGCAGATAGAGAGACATTGAACGGGACTATCACACTGGGGAAGCTGAAGGAGGCAATGCATGTCCCCGAAGAAGTGCGCGAAGAGGTGGAGGAAAATCTCTCTGGGGATTGCTCCCCAGACGCCGTGTCCGGGAGCGAAGAAGAGGCCGAGGAGTGGTAGCCGTTGCATCTAGTCACAGTCAATTATCTAGACTTCGCTGTGTACGAACAACAAAAATAAAAGTGTAGAGAGCGCAGCAGCTGTTCGGATGTGGGCGGCACGAATGATCCTATGGCCTGAGTAAAAACGAGCGCGGGGTTTTTCGCAGTCAAGGAAAGGCCTCCGAGTACTAGCTTTTGTGTCTAATCAGAGGTGATACTCTAGACTTTGCCATGTACGAATAACACAGATGTCATGTTAGAGAGCGCAGCAGCTGTTTGAACGCGATGACAATGATATAGTAGTCTTGCGCTCAAAGAATAGGCCCGGCTTTTTTCCGTGTTTTCTTTATTCACAGGCACGTCTCTTATTCGAAAATCGTTCGCTACATGCGCAAAAATAGGCTAATCTATGTAGTTCGGAATTTGGACAGTCTCGTGCCAGTAGATGCCGACTGCGAATCTGTCGTACAGGTGACTACCTACGAGAGCACGAGTGAACAATTTCGCTTACTGTGTACAGGCGGGCATCATGCTCAGGTCTCGAAGGAATACGGCCTTATCAGCTCAGCAGTTCAAACTTGGAGGCTAGGATATCGCGAGCAGAAGCATTACCAGAAGTAAATCTTGCAGCACAACTCAGGCATGTGAAAGGCATTCAGCGTAATGTATTTATATGAACTTTTTACAGCCAATCGGAACCAAGCATACACCGCCGTGCAAGCGGCATCTACAGGAGTCGCTCCGCTCCTGAACTCAGCTCACGAATGAGCTTTAATCACTGCTGGATGGTATCCTCCCAAGCACCACCGTAGAAATCTGGAAATATAGAGGTCAAGACCACATAGACAGCGCACATAAGCAAAACACATACAGAAGTCCAAAGTGGACTTGACCTGGAGAGTAGGGGCACCAGGCGTGCAGGACTGCGGAGGAAGTCAGTCTCTGGCACAGTAAAGGACACGAAGTCGAACATCACGTACAGTGTTCGGAGCTTGGCCTCCGTTCGAGTTGAACCGGTACACCTGTGTCGCGAGCTGTCCGTCGGGCTGGCCATTGACGTCCAGCACCGGCTCGTAAAGCCACGGCGAGTTGATCACGGGGTTGATTGGGTCCGGGACGTTGCCGGTCTCGGCCGCGACGAGGAACGCGTTCGCCTTGTTCGTGTCATTCTGGAAACGCTCCGCCTTGCTGAAGTCCCACACCGCGCTGATGCCCGCCGACGCGTTGATCGGGTTCGGGATCCAGTAGTGCAGGCCGAGCCCGACACCTGGGTTGATCCCCTCGACGAGCGCCTCGAAGTCCTGGTTAGTCACCGTTGGAGGCGCAGAGTCCCAGATGGCAGCGATGAAGGAGGTGAACGGCTTATGGTGCATCTGGGGCAGGCACGATATGTCGAACAGGTAGGTTAAGCCACCCTGAGGACTACAAGGCAAAGTCACGGTCAGCGCAATCCGGTAATACTTGATTAGAAATAGACGTACGCCCACTGGCCGTCACAGCCGCAGGTGTAGTTCTGCATGCCGACGGACAGCGTAGTGTACACGGGCGCCGAGGTGTTGGGCATCGGGAGAGGCTCGCCACCGTTGTCGTTGATGTTGGCGGGCAGCTCAGCCATGATGTTGAAGCCCCCGGTGGGGCAGATAGAGCCGCCGGTGAGGTTAGAACTCG